TACTTTGCTGTATATTCATACAGCAAAGTAAATTTTACTCTCAGAAAGGTTAAAAGAGCAGTTCATAAGAATATACAGCAAAGTGAATTTTACTCTCAGAAGAGAACTTTCGAATAAATTCTTAACTGATATTAACTTTCGAATAACTAATACCGCAGTCCTTTTGAGTTATATGAAAAGGAATTAGAAGAAGAAATTACATTTATTCTGTTTTCTTCTCTTTTCTCTCTTTACTGTCCCGTGCAGAGCTCATATATATATATATATATATATATATATATTGGCATAATAATGGACATGCGCCTTGGCCTACGGGTATAAACAAACGCAACAATCGGTTTTTTTCAATGTGAATGTAGTCTAGGAATAAATTCACACTCTATTCAAGTAGCAGTAGTAGTAGTTATTCGTTTTTTTATATATTTTTTTTCCAAGATTTCAATCAAAGTAGTAAAAAAAAAAAAAAAAAAGAAAAACCAATGAAACCAATTTTTACATACTACGAGAAATCAGAGTGAGTTTCTCCAAGTCAAAGAGATGCGTACAATAAATATTTCATAATCTTTTTGTATGTATGTGTGCATAATAGACATGTCCTGAACACTCTGAATACTCTATGAAAAGTGCATGTGTTTGTCATTGGCAAACAACACATGATTCAGACAAGCACGTGTATTTTTCAATCAAGTTTTATACTTACATGTATAAATATATATATATATATATATATATGTATATATATATTAAACCAGACAGCTAAATAATAACATTACAAGTATTTATGGCTAGAATAGCCAGTGTGGCGTTGTCCTTTAAAAAAAACTACAGAAATGCATTTTATATGAAGAAAATCCTACTACATCGCATAATGGAATAATTCATCTAACATGAATTTTATAGATTTTTACAAATAAATGAATGCAAAATAAATGAATATTTGAGACACGAGATGCAAATGTAGTTCATAGGTATGAAAGTCATTTGATGGTTCGCGTGACACGCCATTCGGTGGTGGTAGTTGTACAACGAATGCATTCGCTACTGATGAGTGACGTCATTATATAATAGCAACATTAGAGATAAGGTTACATTGCGGCGGCACATATTTTTTCAAGGCTGATGTACATCAACACATGAATATAAATATATATATATATATATATATGTATAAATTCGTACATCAATGTATTATGCGATTATTTACTTGTGTATATCGTGTAGTATTTCAAGTTCATTGTTAGTAACAAAGCGCTTTTAAGAGTTAATTCCCTATAATTCATTAAAATGGACTCACTCCTAAATTGTATACTGCTCATGTGACTCATTCGCAAAATCCTTTAGCAAATTCTTGAATACATTTTTTAAAATGACTTATACGTGAACTTAACTAAACTATTGGCCCCAGAGCCGATAAAGAAACCTTGAATTCTTTCTTCTCTCTATGTGACTATTTCTTAAACGCTAGCTAAATGGTTTCATGCCTTGAGCCGGATATTGAGCTTATTTGCCAAAACTCAGTATTGGAAATATAATTTTTGTATGAGAAATGGCGTCAATACTAAAGTTTCGCTTATTGCTCTACCTTTGAAAAATCCAGAAGAGTCTATGGGACGAGTGAGTTTTTGGAAAATTAACTCACATGTACATTGAAAGTAACTCTCCGATCAAAATTTACAAAAATTCGTGAAATTAATCGTTTATGTGTTGACCCGTTGTCTTGAATTATCTATGAACTCGTAGCCTCATGTCCTTAGACACAAAGCCGTCATTTGCCGTCAATTCAAATAATTTCTGCCCAGTAAATGATCCGACGGGTTTAATTAGAAATAGAGTGTCAATACACAAACCTAGGCGATGATATGTTTAATCCTTTTCCGTTAAGTCGAAAAGCAAAATTTATCAATTTTTATCAAAGTTTAGCAGTAACTGAGTTCTGTTATTTTCTTAGTGAATATCCAGCTGCTATCTCTACGAGATCACACAAGTTTGCGAATTCCACATTCAGTCGAATGGCAATATGGCATTTTCTCAACGTTGGGAGTCGAGTGGCTCTATGATATTTTCTTAAATGTCTCCCTACAAAAGCCGCGCATTCTTACTAAGTTGGAATAATGAAAGCCCATGGTTGTGTCTTTAATGAAAAATGGGTGAAGAAAAAAAGAGAGAATGCCTCTCTAAAAAGTCTCCGCAGTTTTTTCCGCAATTTCGAGCTTCTTCTTGTAGCCTACTCTCTTCAAATGATTCCAAACGATCATGTGGTTGATGTTTAGTGCCCCCGCTATTTCCTGACAGCTTGCGTGCCGATCTTGTTCCATCAGTAGTAAAGTTGATGAAGATGAATTTTTATTATTGTAGTAAGAAAAACAACTAATAAATACATGTTCTTAGTTCACTAACTGGACAGGATATTTTAATTAGCTCACAAGGCCCGTGAAGGCACCATCACAGCGCGGTATTAGCTTTATTTAGCATAATACTTATGAAATAGTAAATACATAATTGAAATATGCTTTACCTAAGCGGTAAACAATCTCATATGTTTTTCAATCGAATTTCCATACCCCCCTTTGATTTCATATGTTTTTTATTCCAATTTCCATAGCTCCTTTTGAATTGTAAACAATTGCATATGTTTTTCATTCCAATTTCCATACCTCCCTTTGATTTCATATATTGTTCATTCCAATTTCCATACCTCCTTTTGAATTGTAAACAACTTCATATGTTTTTCAAGCTAAGCAATTTTGCTCCAACCATTCTTTTGTTAAACAAGACCTGTTGTTTCAAAATTTTTAGGCTGCAGTTGAATTCAAAAGCTTAAAGAATACACTTACACTGTTCCTTCACCAATTTGGAAGCAATTAACTTAGTTAGTGCAATAAGCTAAAGTTCCTTTGTCGATTTTCACAATTCTCGATACAAAGTGGCTCAGTTAATTATCCGATATTTTTAGTCAACTCAAAACTGTTCGTTTCGAATGCGGTTTTAACATGAGTGTATTGCATTGTTCCACCAACTTACTTTGCGTAATCTTTTAGTTGGGTTTTCTTATATGGTGCAACTGATACGAATAAAAATCTAGCTAAAACAAGACATTGGCAAAATGAATTACTCACGGACTCGTTAAAATACTGAAAGTGAAATCTCTGCCACATCAAATCTCTATCTAGCATATTGCATAGCATTCATTAATAATTTTGATAAATTTTTGATGCGAAATAACTTAGATGATTGTATTTAAACTTTCAACTTATTCCGTTAAAGGAAAAGATTTCAAAATTTCTTTCTTCTTATTGTAAATTCAATAATATATGAAAAAATACTGTTCAAGAATACATATCGTCGAAGCTTCATTCCGGGCTTTCAAAATTAATCAAATCACCCATCCACCTGCTCTACTTTTATCCCGCTCTCCCTAAGCCAAGATAATTCCATAATGAATAATGCTCAGTATATGCGCTCGAATGCAAACGATTTATTTTACAATTCTTCCTCTTGCTCATATAATTTAAAATTCTTGTTCTTGCGCTGCTCATATATCTTACAATTCTCTAATGTTGACGACACCGTATTATAAAGTTAGCAAAGATTAGGTTTATCTTCTTCTTTGTTTTTTGATTTAGTTTAGACGTTTGGAGAAAACCGTCTTATGTGGTAATCCAAATGGAGCCGGATAGCAATACATAAAGAATGGCATGAATTATATATATGTCACTGTCAAGATCTCCGATCACTTTCAGATAGGTTTTATTATTGATATGATTGGTCATAAGTCTGTAAAGAAATGAGACGAGCAAAGAGGGTCCGGTAGGGCCTAAAGGAAGTGGATGGAAATACTTTTGTAGAAAAGACGATCAATTTCGCTGGTGATGTTATTTTGGATTGAACGCAAAACTTCCTTCGGCGGGTACTTCACAGATATTATTTCACCATCAAATTGATCTTCACGTGTAAATAGACACAAATCGCAATGACTAGGAAGCTAGACAAGAAGGGATTGTTGAGCATGTTTATAATGTTGCAAAGCACAAAAAGACAGTGAGAAAATTTATTGAAATTAATACCGTATAAACTTTAATTTAATTCAAATTCAAATATGCTACTATCGTAAACATTTCTCAGCAACATTGCAGCGGCAATAAGAACACAAATGACATCTGTGTGTATTTATTCTCTCTCGGAGAATTCGAAGAAATGAATGCTTTTTCTCCTCTTAGAAGGAATAAATTCTGTTATACTTTTCCATTTAGAATACGAAAGTCAGGTGGTGTGGGAACTCTGCCCAGTTTAAAGTTTTGCGTTTCATAGATCTCCACGCCGTAGCTCTTAGGCCAAAACGCGAAAATTCTCAGAAATTGAAATTTACAGCAAAGTACATTTTATGCTCAGGATAGAATTTTATTATTCTTAGCATTTATTTTGGATCTAGATTAAATCGTGCAATAACCAAAAAATTAACGATAGGGAATTTGGATCACATAGTTCTATTAATATATATAAGGGCTACTACGGAAAGCAAGCCCTTGTAAGGAGTGAAAGTATAATTTCTTTTCCTTGTATGACGGAAATTGAGAAATAAATTAAATTTGCTAAATTTGAACGACGTCATACGGTGTTTTAGACATTTCATGGTAAGCATAGTTTTGCATGAAAATAGAGTATAATTTTTAATATATTATTATCAAAACATATGGTTAAATGTACCAGACTAGAAATGATGTGAAGGTATTTAGGTATTGGCTTTGCCTGAATATAATCTATATTGTTTGATGGAATTAATACTTTCATTACTGACTTTTAAATTACGGTTAGCATACTTTTTACAATTTGCAGCAACAATCACATATGGTCTTATTTTTAAAATGCAAGTACTAGCACGTGCATGGCAAATATACGCAAAAATTAGAATTTGTAATGACGGCAACAATATTAGGACACTAGTGGCAACTACTGCTTTTTTAAAAAAATTGACATATATTTTATATATTGCAGTGAAAATTCTACTATCAAGCAATGGTGAACTGTTTTGGTTACGCATACATCTCTGGTTGAAAAAATTTTATATGAATATTATAAATGTTTTACAACAAAGTTGTTAAGAGCTCGTTTAATAATATTAAGAAACACTAGAAGCGCTGCGCTAGTGTTTATTAAACGAATTCTAGAAGTGCATAAATCGATTTTAAGCACTTTTACTTTGTTGCAATACAAACAAAGACGTGCTCAAGTCTCTTCTCGATTAAATTCTTATGACTTAGAATTCCTGCAGGCGAGAAATTAAAATGTCTGATGAGGAAGATTCTATGTCTGAAGGCTTTTCTGCCAGCGAAGAAGAATGGCAGCCAAACAAAGAGCAACGCGGTGGCGAGACATCCGATGATGATGATAGCGATTTCGAGGATATACCTAAGCCAGGCATTGTTGCGGCATCAGGCGCCGCAGGCGTTAGCAAAAAAAGGTAATTAGAATTTTTAATTATAATTGTATGCAGAAATGATATATGCTATGCAAATCGTGTCAATTAAAGGGCTGAACCGAAGTCACGTAGCGCAGCGAAACTGGCATCAAGTAAAAAGCGGAAAACTTCTGGTCAATCGTTGCGCGCTAAATTATATAATAAATATAAGCCGCCACCGAAAACGCTCTCACCGCCTAGTTACGGTGGAAATTCACCATCAACATCGAATTTAACACGCGCACATCCAAAAAACGCCAAAATGCCCAATGAAAGCAACGTTAGACAAGAAAATAATGAAAATGATGGCTCAAGTAGCGATGGCAGCATCTATAATTACCTGGTCAATCCCAATGAAATCGACTTGCAATCAAGTTTTTTCAATAAGAAAAGTTCAGAAGTTAGAAAATCATCATCTCCAACTCCAGTTTTCAATTGCAACGCCGGTCTTGCAGATCTTACTGACTCTGAGTCAGATTTAGATAATGAAGACAAAAATGAGAAAGAGTTTTTCAATTTCCAAAATATTTTAAAGAATTTAAATACTTTAGAAAATACTGAAAATGCTAAAGAAAAGAAGGGTGATGCCAAAGAAATCGCAAACGATGAAAGGTCCGGAAATAAAATTAATGCCATGGACGTCTATTCAGTGCTTGCATTGGGCGAAAAACAAAAACAAATGCGCAATGAGGGCGAGGATGAAGATGATGAGGACGAGGACGATGAAAACGGTCAACGGTCTCAGGCTCCGTCGAAATTAAGTAAAACTAAATCTGCACGCGTCAAACGACATACGAGGACCAGACCATTATCAACGGCCGCCGCCGATTCAGATGATTCAGATTGGGAGGAAGTTGCAGGTAGGAAACATAAGTAATTCGCAACATTTTTATCTCAGTTTATTATCCAGGTGCTATGTAGCTTATTATATATGGTTGTCGGACTCTATAATTGTTAAGATGTTCTATAGAAATTAATAGCCTGTAGTTGTACTACTACTAACACATTAATAAAGCGATATTTAGATATATTTCGGGTGAAGCGTTACCGTATGAAATAATGGGATGATAAAATATAAATATGATACAAACATATATTTGAGGAAATATTTGTTAGACACATTACATTTCCATATTGTTACATACGATTCCCGAACTATATTAATAAGGTTTTAATAGTAAATCTTCATCAAAGCTCATCATTAATTTTTAGTATATCTTATGTAAAAAAATTCAGCTTTTTTCTCCCCATAAAATATTTTTAATATCATTTAGATTTATTTTCTCATTTGATGTTGTTTACAGTGTTCATCGTTTTACTAATGAAATAGAAGAGAGGTTCTTAAACTTAGCCAAAGTTTTAATTGTCACCACTTTCTTTTTTGATCCTTCATATTCTTTTCAGAAGACACTGATTGATTTTTAATTGCAATATAATTATTTAAGAAAGTATAGAAAAAACAAAATTTTGAATATTCTTTTAAAGTAACAGTTTTTCATATTAGAATCTTTACAGGTAATAAGACAGACTTAGCTGTCAAGCATTGTCTTTATTAAATCCTATATCATAACAATCAGATAATGATCTAAAACCCTATCAATTTTTAGGATTCTTATTACTTCCCTAGTTTCTTACCTGTCATCATTCTATGTTCCTTCAATTGTATCTTTACGTGTCTTTAGTCGCTAAATAAGTGTTCAGAGCGTACTTTAAAAAGCAATTTCACAGATCTAAATGCCCCCACACATGCATTGAACGTCAATTTTTTTAAATACAGTAACGAAAAAGTTGGGCAACATTTATTACGACAAATTAGTCCCAATCATTACATTATCCAGCGACCTACGGCCTTGCCGTCAATTTCTACGAGCCTAGTTTTATTTGCTGTGAGAGTTGGACGAAGACATTACGCAGTTTTAATACTGGAAAAGCTCCAAGGCAGAGAACAAGGTTGCACTGACTCTCATACGGAAAGCTATAATTCACACATTTTTCATTTAGAGAAAAAAGAGATAAAATATTGTTAGGTGTATAAATGAATTATCAAATGTTTTTCATAAAACCCAAATTTATTGGAAACAATTCTTAAAAAGCTTAGTAATCGAAGTAGTCTTATGGACTTTTGCCTTTTAGCTTGTCTTGCGCATGTCGCCATGGTGAAACGGGAGGCAGTTGTCGATCCATTTTTGTACATCTTCAGCTTTGCAGAGCTGCTGGCCTGCTAAATAAGACTACGTCGATCTGAACCAATAGTAATTAGAAGGAGGCAGGTCTGAAAAATAATCTGCGATCAGAAGAAGTTCCCAGTCCACGTTTGAGATCACTTTCTCGCTTGACGGACGGACACACGTGAGCTACATCGTTCGTCGCTTAATACATTTGCACTCCAAACGAATTTAATCGATTCCGTAGCTTCAGCTGTAATTTTTTTGCATTTTAATCGAAAAAGATAAAGTGCTTCAAATGTTGCTGGAAAGCTACTAATTACTGAAAAATACTGGAAAAAGCGAATCTAATTTTTCACACTTTAACGGAATCGGACTCTAATTTCTGATAGTAAAAAAATCGGAGTGTAGTTTTTCACACTTGAACAGAATCGAAGCGTTGCAATTTATTGAAAGCAACTCTGTGCCTTCTCTTTTTTCAAGACCTTGTACTTTTTTTATTAAACCTTGAAAAGGAAAAAACCAGCTAACGATTTTTGGCGAGAAATTCAAACCCTTTTACAAGTGCACAAAGACGTTTGACAAAGTGGAAAATTGCTCGTTTTATTAAACGAAGTATATTATGCTGCCAGAGATGCATCTGAATACATTGCATAATACACACTGTACTGCAGCTTGTACAATTGGTTACTTCATAAGGCATACCTGTCGCGTTCAATTTACTCGAAATTTGAGATATAGCTAACGTAGACGTCGTTTACGGCTCGGCCGTTTTCTGTGTTTTTAACTAGATTAACTTGAAAAAAAATGCAGCAGAACCTGCATTATGTAATCATTTCACATTGCCTTGGGAAGAAAATGCTACGAAACGGTTAAAATGTGGTTTAGTCGTGGAAACGTTGCAAACTCGCATTCTTTCGCCTGTCTTCCGAAAAAACAACCAGTGAAATAAGTTTCAACTTAGGCTAGGAAGTTTTAATGCACCCACTGTATTCTCCAGACCTTCCTTCCTCGGACGATCACTTATTCAGACTGATGGCGCGATTCATAGAAGTTGAAGATGTGTGAAAATGGGTCGACGGTTATTACACCACCAAACCGGAAAGTTTCTAACGCAAGCGCACCGATAAGCTACACGATAAATGGCACAAGGTTATACGTAATGAAGACGCATGTTTCGATTAATAAGCTTCGTATTTTAAATAGTTGAGTTTTACTAAAAAAAATGGAATTAATTTCTTTGCCCACCCAAAATTGTGTATACCTAAAATTTCGGGAGGATTAGACACATTCTATAAACCGACAGTATTTCAATATGGAAAAGTTATTTGTAGACCTCATAACTCTTGTCCAAAATAATTGGAGATTTTTCTAATGATTCTTGGCCCGTTGCCTTCTCGGATTCCTTATATAAGTACAATTTTTTTTTCTTGGTAGGGCAAAGATCTCTTTAAGCATTTTGCAAGGACAAAACAAACCGAATATTTGTTATCTCTCAAGGTTCCGAGCATATAATTTCTTTTTATTTTGATATATTTTTATGATTATTTTATTTGCATTTTTTATTTTCTCAGGTAAATTTTGCCATCAATTTTCGGTTAGTGCACACACTGTGCACTTAAGGATTATTAACGATATATATCAATTTTTGTTAGCATAGAAAATTTTTTTTAGTATTACGGTTAAAAAAGAAAAATATAACATAATGACAAAATGCATTTATATATTTACTTTAACACTTATAGTTAGTTGTAGAGAATTTGAAGACAGAAAATTAACACCAATAATTGCTATTAAACTACAATTATGATTAAAACTTAACTAATAAACAATTATAATTTTATTATCGTTTTTTAAGTTAGTTTAGAAAATAAAAAATAATCAAAATATTTAGTTGTTATAAAACTAACAAATGTATAAATTACAAAATCGTGTGACAAAAAATCCTTTAAATGAAATATAAATATTTAGACATACTTAAAGCCTTTATTTAACATTCTACTAACAATGCCTGCTTTATTTATCAAAAGGAAAGTCATCATCTATGGCTTACTTAACTACAAGACAATAATCGATAAATTTATTCTCACAACTAATACAATGCAATCAAGTTTAAATTATTCATAAGTGAACATTTATTTATGTCATAAAAACTCAATATTTCAATGATAACATTATTTTGAAGAATTGCAACTTTTCAACGCAGATGCAATGTCCCATTGTTCAACAACTAGACGACAAGACAGTCCAACATTTCATTCAAGCTTCAAACTACGATATCATTACGGACTTTTTGTATTTCTGTTAGCAAATCACAGTAATAATGCTTTTAACGAGTATCCATTTGGCTTAGAAAATGTCTCCACACATCTCGATATGTAAATTTTCATTGAAAATAATTGACAAAATAAAGTATAGCATGCTTCAACTAAACGATGAAAAGAAAGACTATATTTGCTAGACACCCACTGATTGCTTTTCATTCGCACGTACGCACGTATATGCATACCATAGCGCACATTCACTTAAAAAGATGGAACTGTATATGCTGCTACTACGCAAACGTTTAAGACGTTATATCAAAAACTGTTAGCAGAGTACGCAAAAAATAAGATTGAAAGCGCAAGAAGTGAAGTGAATGTTAATTAACAGGGTTAGTATTATTATTGATAACAAGAAAACAAAAAATCCGTAACAATTTCCTAGTTTGAATTTTTAAATAAATATTGGACCATCTTTTGATATAATTAATTGTCTCTGGTTATACGCATATAGACGATTTCGGCTTGCTTCTGCTATGCGGCAACTTTGATGTGATTGTGATTGTTCAGCCATTAAGGCACAACTCTTACCAATTGGGCACTTATCCACTAGACCACGGCCACCACCGCCGCCTTCCTACTTTTTTCTCTTTTCTCACTTTTTTTTGAACGTAATAGAGAAGATTGCCTGAGGGATTGCTTATAAAAATTTCTACCGAAATTATTTTTCAGGACAATTGCGAAGTTTGGAGTTTACATTCTATAGTGCTCGTAGCTCTATGTCGTTCGTTTATATGCACCTATTTTTCTTAAGCTCAGCCTTCTCTCTACTTTAATTATAATAATAATAATAATACTATTATAATTCATATAGACGTGAAATCCTAAATCAACTTAAACAATCGTCGTCTTACCATGTATACTGATTTAGAGAACGCAGAAATTTCTAATAAAGCTTACTGCAAAGTTATGATTAGTGTAAAACACTGACTTAGACACTTCCCTCCATCTCTCGATGCGTTTTTATTCCTGGCCTAAATTTAATTAACAAACTTTTCGACTAATATGAGAGTGTCGGTTGTTTTAGGTTGAAAACACCGTCGGTGCGTCTCTGTCTCTAAGTAACCGGCATTGAACTGCTAAATTTAAGCAGAAGTTGGAATGAAAACCATTTAGCCGTATCTGGCTCATCAAAATTTCGATACTATCACCACTAACATATCCAGCTCTTTGTCTTTCCTTAAGTCTTTCTAACCTTTCATCGTGTTACACGTATGGATGAAGACATCCGCAGAGTGATTGGCCGCAATTAAAACAAAGTAGTACGAACAACTTTTCGAAAATATTGCAATGACTGGCCTTTGCTTTTAACCTTGTACCCTGTTTCATTTTATAGCAACTTCACTGGTACCGTTTCAAATTATCGAAAATTATGACTGATTTTTAGGACGAATGAGGAAAATATTCATTTTTTCGTTTGCAACGCGGAGAAGGAAGCATCAGAGACTAAACAAACTATATATATTCTTGATCAGCATCAGCTTAGAAGTTGATTTGAGCATCTCCGTCTCTAATGTCCGTCTGTAATGTCTGTTGTAAACATATATAATATAATATATTATATTTTTTTACTTATTTTTTATTTAGGAGGAATAAACATAGAAGGTATTATTACATCTCCTGTACATAATATAAATGATCTTTGACAATTTTCATTTTCTCGCCGTTGGTTCGGGACAGAGAACGGAAACTTGAAGCGTAAATGATGCTGACATCGTCAAGAGGTCAGAAAGTTTTACAATAATCCGTTATTTTTTGAAACGCGTGGATTGAACCCTTGGTACGTCGGCAATTAATGGAAAAATGGTAACTAAGGCGAGCGCCCCAACTATACTCAAATTACGCAATTGATCAGCCCGCAATTCTTTTTATGAAATTCGAATAATTTCAATATGTGTTCATTAACAATGTAGCCCTGGTTTATACTAGTACTTGTACTAGTATTAATGGTAAAAGTCAATTGGAATATTGGCTTAACTGATTTGTGAGGAAAAGTTCGATTTCCGATAAAAGGAGACTTATATTTAGTGAGGCAAATATTACTTCTTGTCCTTTTATTTTTATTTTTTTTTAATTACAATAAACTCAAAATAAACCGTAATAAAAATAGTAATTTGTAAAAAACTAAGAACTAATTTAAAATTTATCATATATATATATATTTATAAAAAGTTGTGCATAAAGATAGATTACATTAATTATACATATATAATACATAAAGTATGTCACGATGCTTTACTTGTGTTTAACGACAAGGAAGTAATGATGAAAAAAAAGTTTGACTCTCTACCTGTGACGCGATATATAACCACTGAACTGCGGTAACTAAATATTAAATTTACCACTAATTATTACACAAACGTTAACAGAAAAGAAAAACCTGAAATGTTGTCAAAAAAGAAATGAAAAAACTTAAAAACAAGGACTTTTTTAGGTGACATTGACATGAAGTTATTTTCAAAAAGTATAAGATGTCAATGAGTTCTTTTACTAGATTAAGGCACAAATTATCATCGATCTACTTTGACTTTAATAAATGTCACGAATTGACAGAAAAAATATTTGTTTCCTTTTTTATTGCAATGTTTCTATTAATATAAGCGTGTATATGAAATAGATGTGTAAGTTGCTAGGTGTTGCTCCGTTTTAAATTTCATCAGCATCAACGTTGATCGAATGTAAAGTACGCTCTTTTGGGTCTGGCATTGGAATTCTTTCTGTTTTCTGTCAATTTTTAACCTTTAAATGCATATTCGACTATTATTTGTTTATTTGTGTCTGTGTTAAATCGGTTTGTTGTAGCGCTTTTTGTTCTAACCCAATTTGAAAACATGAAAACATGTGTTTTGAAATTTATCGTAGCGCCCTTTATTTACATTGAAATTTCGTATGCATTAAAGGGTTAAAAGTTATGCATAAGGGATTTGTTATTTCACATTTCCAGATGATCCAAATTTATTAGCTGATACATCGGTCACTGGAACGCAAACAGGAAATCTTGAAATACATGTTGCGCTGCCTTCGCGGAGTTGTGGTGAAAAGAAGAAAACTCAACAGGATCTTGAGCTCGCTCTGAAGCGCAAATTGAACCGTGATCGAAAAGATCGCCAATTGCTAATGCATAAAGCAAGTTTGCTATGCCGTTTTGCGCGATGCTATTTTTATAATCGACTACTCAACGATAACACATTAATGCAGATTGCTTTGAAATTGTTACCCAACAAAAATGCATATCCACCGCAAAAAGGCACTGAAATCAAATATTATCAATCATTAATGACTTGGTTTAAAACTGTTATAAAGTTAGTCTCGCAAAATCTATATCCAGAAAAAATTGCTGTCACCAAATCTAAGGTACGCAGGGACATAATTCGACAACTTAAACGTAAAGAAGCTCTATGCAAACAGGATATGATATTCATGTTTGTTGTGCTACTAAGAGGCATGGGTATGCAATGCCGTCTTATTTTTAATATGCAACCGTTACCTTTAAAGCCACCTCAAAGCGACTTGATACCCATTAAATTGATCCAGAACGACAAAAAACCAGACAAGATGCAAGATTCAAAAAAGAGTAAACAATCGAAGGAGCCCAAAGACGCTTCCTCGAAAACTAATGTTTCGCCGCAATCAAGTAACAGCAAGCCAAAAAAGCCGACGCAAAAGAAGAACGTCAAATCGAAAGAACAGTCCCCGGAAATACATCAAAAGACGGCAGCTTCACAAAATAATGCTAAAAATTCAAAATCTTCGGAAGATGAAACAAACACTGGGTTACTATCTGAGACAAAGAGTAACAACAAAACAACGAATAAAAACATTCAAAAAAACCCGCGTTTAGCTCGTTTGAAACAACCGCGTGTACAGCTAGAAGAAGTAAATAATGAACCTGACAGTAAGAAGTCAAGAGGCTCCTCTCCTTACAGATGTCCAGATGTTTTGCGAAAAGAAAACAGCAATGAGAATGAAAAGAAAGGTGATGAAGAGACATCTGAAACGAGTAATGAGTGTTCTATTCAACTAAAAGTTCGTGATACACGTTCACGTAGTAAATCACCAACTGTTCCCATCATCTCACCCACTTTTCTACAAACGAAACGCTATAAAGAGAAACTGGGTATTATGGAGAAAAGTGCAAACGTTGAGTCTCAGAAGCTTAAAGTCAAAAATACTATTGAAAATAAAGTGAAAATTTCGCCAACGTTCCTTACTAAATCTCAAAATTCGGGGAGGATGTTACGTTCTCGTACAAAAACCGATGAAAATAATCAGATCCCACAATTAGATGGGCCAGACGACAGTGAACACGAAGAGACTGTCAAAAAGGGTACACATGTTGGAAAAAAACGCTCGAATTTATCAAAGCTGCTTAAAGCATCTCAAAATTCAAAAGAGTTGGATGAAGACTTTGAACCATCGCAAAGCAAGAAAATTAAAGCGGCGCCTAAACTGTGGAAAAAGGATCGCCGCGTCCTTTCAACCGATGAAGATGATAATCTAAATAATAGTGCAGAACGCATGAAACGTAAGTCCATAGCTAACGATATATGGGTTGAAGTGTGGTGTGATTTTGAGGAGCAGTGGGTTTGTGTTGATCTATTTAAAGGAAAAATTCATTGCATTGAATCGATAGTGGTACGTTAATGTAGAGCCTGTCGAAAAGTTGTGTTATAAAAGTGTTTTTCCTCCATATAGAAATCAGCTTCTGTTAATTTGGTCTATGTGTTTGCGTTTCAAAATGATTTAACCATTAAAGATGTAACTGCTCGGTACTCTGCGAATTGGGCAGACGTGGTGCGCAAATGTCGTGTAGAAAAAGACTGGCTGGATGTCGCAATTTCAAGCTATCTAGGAAAACGTACTATGCGTGATATTAAGGAGGATCGAGAATTGCGTCGGATACACGAGGCGAAACCAAGGCCCACGTCTATATGCGATTACAAAAATCATCCCTTTTATGCTCTGGAAAGACATTTACTCAAGTTTCAAGCCATTTATCCACCAAATGCACCCGTACTTGGTCATGTAAGAGGGGAGGCGGTCTATTCCAGAGATTGCGTTTATACCTTACATTCACGAGAAATTTGGTTAAAACAGGCGCGAGTCGTGAAACTGGGGGAAAAGCCGTATAAAATTGTGAAAGCTAGACCTAAATGGGACAAGGTTCATAAATTAACTCCATTTTTACATTAACAAATTTTTATAATGGCAATTAAACAGTTTTTCTTTCTTTCAAGTACAGTTCACTCAGACCGTCATCAAAGATTTACCATTAGAGATATTCGGATATTGGCAAACAGAGGATTATGATCCACCTACAGCTGAAAATGGTTTAGTTCCGAGAAATGCTTATGGTAACGTAGATCTTTTTAAGCCTTCAATGTTGCCTAAGAAGACGGTACATTTGCGCTGTAAGTTGTAATCAAAGTTTCGCGCCAGTGCTTTTGTTATAGAATATTTTTAAAAATTTCAGTACCAGGTCTCAATCGCGTTTGCCGAAAATTAGGTATTGACTGTGCTAATGCCACAATTGGTTTTGATTTTCATCAGGGCGCATGCCATCCGCTTTACGATGGTTTTGTGGTTTGTGAAGAGTTTTCAGATACTGTAACCGCCGCTTGGCACCAAGAACAAGATCAACTGGAACGCAAAGAACGTGAAAAACATGAGACGCGCGTGTATAATAATTGGAAAAAATTAATACGTGGCCTACTCATTCGTGAGCGGATAAAAGTGAAATATAATTTTTAACTTTTTTTTTTTGTATTTGATGTTTATTAGAATGTTTGCGGTACAGTATTGTTTTCTTTTTATAAAATTTATACCATTTCTTTTTCGCTTTAAATTAAACATATATTTGTATTTTCCTAGTTTTTATGCTGTCGTTGGCGAAAACGCGACCAACTTCGGCATGTGACTTAACTAGAAAGAAAAAAATAAAATTTATCGAAAAAGAATTTCCAACACTGTTACCAGAGATATTGACATTTATGTGAAAGGCTTCCGTCCACACGTTCTCAACAAACCGAAAAAAAATATTTGTATTTTCGTTTTGATTGCCTTTTCACTATTTAGGAAAAAATGCACACTAGTATTAGGGTTTTTACGCACAAACTTGTTCTAGGAATTCGTATCGTTGGATAGAAACAAAAATTATAACTTTGGCTAGTGCCATGTCTTTAAATTCAAGTCTTCAATTTCATAGAGAAATTTGTTTTCAGATAATGACTTCTTGCCCCCGGAGGCAAAGTCTGCCCCTTTAATGACAACACTGGGCAGGAGTTGCCTAGGATACACTGTTGCGGCTAGAAAGGGAAGTTCTGCCACAATCAGCATACTCTGCAGACATAAGTACCCGTACACATTGACAATGTCTACACCATTTATTCTTAAGGATTGTGTAAAACGGTTTTGCAATAATTAGTTAGTAGTTGTAAGAGCTGATTCTGAAAATATCGTTGCAAATCTACGATTTTAATTACGCTTCTCGCAAATGAAATTCGTACAATTTAGAAAATAGCTCAACTCTCGTTTTTTCGGATAATTCAAGAAATAATGCTGAAGAGGGTGAAATTAACAGCTGGAAAGATGACTTTTACATTGTAGTTATATAATTACATTTCGCCAGAATTTCCATCTATACTACTTTGCTCATTGCAACCCCTTCCAAAATCATCCGGTTGTTGCGTAATGACTACGGAACGGCCGATTACGTCCCAAACTTCGAGAATTGAGTCTACAAAACGAAATGTTGCTCGGCCTGTTTCATCCGCTCGAATATTACCCAAATCGCCGGCGTGTCTTTGGTTAGGTTCGTCATGCGGTGCGCCACGCGGTGAATCCCTTGGATTATAATGTGCACCAACTGTGTAACAACCGCCGGAGACGTCACTCATTTCATGAACATGCATACCATGCAAACCAGGCGTTAAGCCATCTATTACGCCATCTACTACTACACCTGCTTGATCGTTGGTTATGGCTGTGAATCGTACAACTCCTTGAATGCTGGTACGATCTATATCACTGCCAGTGTTATTTATAATTGAAACAGCAGATTGTCCGCCAAAGCCCGCTAATACCGCTTTACGTCCGGTGTTTTCAATTTTCTCCTGTATTCTTGACCAAGGCTCCACGGTATGCACAATAACGCGTCCTTCCTTACGATCGATATCTACTAATCCCATTCCATCCAAAGATTTTTGTACAATTTCAACACAACTATCACTATGCATCTCCACAGCAAATTCTATCTGTGTATGATATGATTTTTTTTGCAAAAGAGACCAGCGATAGCGGCTAAATTCTGCAAAGTTCAACCCATCTCGTATGCCAAAGAAAAAAACTGTCTTCCAACTAATAAACTGCGAACTCTATTCTCTAAGTCATCTGAACGTTTGTGTATTTGTAACTTCTATTTATTTGCATAAATATAAGCATTTTTTTTTAGATTGGAAATCTCGCTGCCACCAAGCAGAAGTCATTCGTGTTAGGAAAGTTAGGTTTCACGAGTAGAGCTCTTTAAGTTGGGGAGAAAATAGAGAGAGTGATTACACTTACTTGTGCAACTTGTGCGACTTGTCCAGCTTCGTGCCCAGGAGATACACCCGAACAGTTAGGGAGTTGGGGAGTTAGTTAGAAAGAGAGGAGAATTAATTGTTTTTGTTAGTAATTTTTTCAGATATAGACTGAATACACTGAAGGGCACCACTAGAAGGATATGCCCTTAACATGTCAGCGTAGCTGCCACTAGGAGGGATTTTCCGGTTCACTTGTATTTTTTGTATTACCAGCTAAATGTAAGATGGAGAAAATGCTAGTGTTCTTGGGAAGCAAGGTGGTCTACAAGTTCTACCAGTAGCGAGCAATATGGACAAATGTGTGAGATCTATACGAAGACGGAAGTCAAGTACCCTATGCTACGCTACAAGTTGCTTTTTACAAATGTGAGGAGAAGCTAGCTGTTCTAAGTAGCGACACTCGCCGAACATTGTTTTAATTTTATCAAATTTATCAGCCACGGCGGGGAGTTTGTAATAGGTACTGTAAAAAATAATAATAATAAAAACTAAAAAAAAAAAAAAAAGAAGAAAAGTAGTTATTTGTCACAGAGAAGAAAAAAAAGAAGAAAATTTGAGTTTTCTTGGGGGATAGAGAAAAAAAATTTGGCAGTTGAGGGATTCTGTTTTTCGAACGAACAGTTATGTGCTCATTGGAAGTGATTATAAACTCAATTTTGATTTGTCAGTTTTTGGACATTTTGAAATTTGGTTTTTCCTTACATTTTTAAAGAGAACCATCATATCATAGATTTTTTTTTTTTCAAAAGGAAAAATAACAGAAACTCCTCGCAGAAAAAAACTACAAAAAGTGAACATTTACATAGATATATTGTGAATAAATCTATATTACAAATTTCGACCCTAACCACATGCAAGTTATAATTCAAAAGCAGAAAATACACAAAAAGTTTCAACTCTGTCCAGTTGGTCCACTCACACGTTAGTAATGGAAATAATTGCGTGCCTCTAAGGATCAATTTTTTACCAATTGTCCCTAAGGCGTTGAAAATGTCCATCTTCCAAGCGGTTACATGTCTCATCAATCAATCACATCAATAAACTACAATTTTTTTTTTGCATATTTTTTTCTTATTATTAATCAAAAATTTTAAAATTTATAATCTGGTGAAAAATCATTTAGCTGCGGCGATGCGCATCGACGAGGTTGTTTGATTTGGTAAGTTTTTTTTGATTTGTTAAATTAAGTTAATCTAAATATTCCTTCTTGCGAATAACTTTTTCTATAATAAATCTGATTATTTATTGTTAAGAGATGTTAATTAAAAACAATTTTTATATCCTATAAATTGTAATTAATTTATTTCCTCTTAAAAAAAAAAAAAGGAAAAAAAAGAAACATAAATGCCCTTGAATTAAACTTAAATAATTTCGTTTTGTTATTTCTTCTCTTATTTCTTTTTTTTTTGAAAAATATTATTATTATTTTAATTTTAGACTAATGAAATAAATTCTTAGACTAAAAAAATACATTGAGCACTAGCAACACAGGCTATCGGCTCTTGAAAAATAGAAAAATTTATTATTATTAAAAGTATTGAATAACTGGTGAGACTTCTTGGGGGTGACAGAGGGAGGAGGGAAAGGCAGTGATAGGGCATAGTATTGTATTTATCCGGGAAAAAATTTTAAAATTAAAAGTAAGCATGTTTTTTAAAATAATGAAACATTTGTAGTGTAACAAATAAATTATCATGAAACTAATTACATTTTTTTTACCCATGCCATCCGACGAGCCACGCCGGAAAACATGCGCTAGGTTCATGATTTAAATAAAAATACTTACATCCTTGCAAAGCTTAAATATCAAATACGTTACAAGTTTTTATCTAATTCCAAAAAAATTTTTTGCGCCCATAAAAAGCTTATAAAAATCAATATCACATTTCCTGTAATCGGGACAGGATCAATGTTACCCTTCGTTGAATCTGATAGTATCGCTCAAAAACGGTCACTTTTGGCACGACAAACAAACGTTCCATGTTGGCAGACAATAAAGCAAGAAACCTTTACCAAATAATTGCAATGATAATTTAAAATAGCACACAAATTGTACACTGTTCGACCACTGTAAAAGAGAGAGCAGCAATAGGTAGTAACAGTAGGAAAAAGTAAATCAAAAACAGAGATGTTAAGGAAAAAAACAACAAATCCATCAAGCAAAAATAATAAATAAGAGATTCATGAAAATAATGACAATAACAAACAAACACCGTAAAGAGCGAGAAATTTTCTTAAACACTTTTAAACACCTTGTAAAAATAGCGAAATCCAACATCGACAGCATATAAAATCTTATTAAACCGTCTTAAACAGTCTTAAACACCTCTAAACACTTCGAAACAATATCGGAATTCAACATTGAAAGGATATAAAATCTTATTAAACAGTCTAAAATACTTCTAAACACTTTGAAAAAATATTGGAATTCAGAAAGCACACCCCCACAAACCAAAGCAAAAATTTAAAGAATGAAATCTGAAAAAAGCGGCTTATAAATTAAGACGACAGTGCATTTTTGACCTCAAAAAAAATAGCCTGACTTTTCATATATAGATTTTAATGCGTATGATTTATAATTTAAACAAAGTCGAGCAACAGCTTCCTGACAAATTGTCCCTTATTTCTAGAATAATCAATAAGTCAATAATATCTAAATGTTGCGTCTATCAAAAAGAAAACGAATAATTTCGAATATTTAAGACTCTATATACTGTATTTGTTTAACAAATTATTTTTATTATATATATCAAATAATATCAAAATATAAAAAACAATGTATTACAATTCGTTTTTTTAATAATAATATTGCGGCGGTGAAAAGCACGCTCCACGTTGGAACCTTATTCCGTTTAGCGAAAACCTGCGATTTCAATACTTGAAAGCGTCTCATACGTCTACCGTACGTTTAATTATCTTTTATTAGATCCGCCTGAGTAGCTGAAGGCGAGGAATGTCGACTTGCAAGTCAATGGTCGTGGGTTCGAATCTCAAGTGCGGTAGAGTTTTTAATAATAAAAGCCTTAGATGCTAGTGCTTTTAAGAGTTTAGTCTTAGAATTTATTTCTCTGGCGAAATTAATAATAATAATAATAATAATAATATCTTTTATTAGAATTGCATGATGAAAAAACAAAGCAGGAAAGGAAAGATAAGTAGCTTCTATGAAGGCGTATCTTCCTTCGATTATGTGGTTCGGTAATTCAAATTCAATTGGTTTTTACGAATATTGAAAAAAAAATTAGAAGAAGAAAGAAGTAAATGAGCGAACTTCGAATTCCGGCAAATTAAAAGAGAACTTATTCTATGGCATAAAACATATGAAACATAAATCTCTAAATGAAATCTAGTGTGTAGGTAAATTGAAAAAATAATTGTCGACTTGTTAAATATGTTTCAAAACACGAAAATTTCTCTTGAGTTCTCAGTATAATTCAAGTTGATGAGAGAAACGGTAATAGATCTACAGGGAAGTGAAAAGGTTTAGCAAAAAAGAAACTGATTGTATATTTAAAGTATAATAAAAAGAACTCTCAGGACTTAAGAAAACATTACTTCATAAAAGTTAAGCAAGAGTTTAACAAAAGGTGTGCACAGTGACCGTTTCAATTTGGTTCTTATTTTATTCCTTCCTTTCCGTATTCTATTAGCGTTAGTATTATTACTATTTCATTTTTGGATGTCGAGCATAAAGAACCATGCATCGCAAGAAGAATTTCATTATTACTCTTACAATTTCATTAGGCTTTACCTGATGTGTTAAAGATTATTTTAATTTTTGTTTACGCATAATAAAATTAAAAATTTATTTCCAACTGCATGTTAATATACTGTGTTCTTTTGATATTAAGGCTGGCAGCTCTATCTATAAAAATTACTAAGAAGAAATTTATCGAGAAGCCCTTGTAAAGAAACAAAGAAAACAGCTGTTATTCAAATAAATATTTTTTAGCATAGAAAATTACCTAAAAAACTTTATTAAATTACAAAGCTTAAAATGCACACGAAAAATTAGGTCAAGTAACATATTTATTGTTGATTGCTTATTAAAAGTATGCAAATCTAACAGAAATATAAAATTTCAAAGCAAAAATTCATAAATTAAGAGTGCAATTTGCGATCTTATAGGGTTGGTTGTAACCGTTTGGGTAATATGAATCCTTTAGATCCGGAAGCGCGCTTTATACAAATAGCTGAAGCTACTTCCCGGCCAGCTTTTCAGAGTATAGAAACGCTGGTTGCGGCCGTAGGCAACATAGGTTCTACGTTGGACTCAACAGTTTGGTACCGTAGTAACAGGCTGAGCCACTGTAGGAGATGAAGAAATTGTAACATTACCCGTTACCGTTGATTTACTAACGGGAACGACGCTAACTAATTTTCGTACGGTAAGATTACGATTTAACATCTGAGTTTCGAGATGGGCAGGCAGCTGCTTTATTCCCCCTGGCTTTACCACGATGTTGCGAACTTGCTGCTTATCCGTTGATAATACTGAGCCCGTACCATTTTTGATTATTTGTATGTGTGGTACACTTACATTTAATATGGGTCGACTCGGGGTAGTAGACGAGGACGTTCCAGCTGTAGTAACAGCGCTCAGTGTCTTCAAGCTAATTTGCTGGACACCTGAGCTGCCGGTAATTGGAGAAATTTGTGCACCTGGTCTTGGAACTAGAGTGGCGACAGATGTCTTAGGATTTACTACTACTTTGGTATATTTCGGTATTTGCCGCGATAAAATACTCGTGCAAGGTTTCATAGTATTTCTGTTAATAAATACTACGTTACTGGCTTTGTGATTCAACTGAGGTTGTATTATTGTCCCCGGTTTATTAAGAACAAAAGGAGTATTCGTTGACGGTGATACTGAAGTGCTCGATGTGGCATTAGCTTCTTTAATGATTTTTTGACTAATAATCAATTTTCCTACACCGGAAGAAGAAACTAAAAAAAGAATATTAAAATTTATGCATTGATATCACAGCTAAATGTTTTAGAGCGTACCTGATCTTGTAGTCGTCTCATTGCCTAATCCCGCGCTTCCGGTAGTAGAATTGCTAACTTCTTCAGAAATATTGCCTTCACTATCCGCAAACAATATGGGCATGTCGATGATATTGGAGATGTCAACATTACTCGTCGTTGTCGTGCTACTACTAGTAGACGTGTTTGTTGCAGGTCCTACAGGAATAACTTGCTTTGCCGGTGCATTCAAATGCAAAGTAGTACCACTTGCCACATTTTTGACCACTGTGTATTTAGTCTGTCCCCCCACGGCTGTAGCAAACTGCGTCGTCTGACCACTAGGTGTTTTGAGAGTGAAAATATGTTGACCTGTGTTGCTCGAATTATTGGGGGGCGTAGCCACAATACTTCCTATTCTCGTGCTGCTGCCTCCAGATTCCATTTGTTTTTGGCCTAACATGGTAGCCGTCTTAATTGTATAAATTTTGGACGGACTTTGGCGGGGTGAGCTTTTCAATTGTACAATTTGATTAGCCGGAATCATTTTAATCTTTGTACCAACTGTCGGTGTACCAGTTCCAGTACCACCTATTATCAGTTGCTTGGGTTGTGCATTCAATAACGTAGCCTTAATAGGTGTGCCTTTTGTTGTTTGAGGTACAAGTTCGAAGTTGTTTATTAGCTTTTTATGCGTAGTATCTGCGCCATTGGTCGAGTTGTGATTTAACAATAAGCCAGCATCCCCCTCATTACTTGAATCCGCCATAATAGACTCAATAGCCATATTTAAGTCGTCATTACTTAGATTTGACTTTTGTTGCGGTTTCATTTGACTTTTACCCAATATGATCGGTTGTCTATTGGATATATTACTTACTTGTTGTATTTTATTTGAAGAAGCGCTATGCTGCGATTGATTATTGTTATTAATATTTGGTAAGGGCCTAGTACGAGGACGACCGACTGTAAATAAATATTTATTAGGAAATTTACAATGTGAAGCCAGGCAATAAAACCATAGCATTTATTTAAAAACAAAATTTAGCGGACGTTACCCTTTCTTTTAACTTGAAAAGGATCTCGTGGTAATTTTGATTTCTTGGGCTTAGGAGGTTTCCTCTTATCGTACACTTTGTTTTCTTGAAAATTGATTACCAATGGAAAGCAAATAATATTTATTAAAAAAAGCTAAAATTAAAATAACTACCAAAATTTAAACAAAAAATTAAAACTATTAACGGGGTTATAATAGGAGAAGCTGTTAAGTACGTTAAGTGCGTCCGACGTGTTTACACACTTCGATGTCAGTAGTAGTGCATTTCGAAACATTTTTAACACCCAAAGGAAATGGTAGAGTTTCTTAAGAAAAGTGAATCATGTCGAAAGATGTTTAAACACTTTCAAGAAAGTGGTGGTTGCTTTTTAATGTTATGTAAATATGATATGCCAATACAGTTCAATTAAAGTAAGCGGCGCAATCGAGAGTATTGTTTAAGTGAAAGTCATAAAAAATCGTATTATCATATTTCTTACCACAATTTGGGTATTTACTTTACGAAAAGAAAGGACCAAGAGAAAAAGAATAATTTGATCGCTTGATAGATGCGTTAGGCTAAATAACTGGTAACAAAAATAATAAATTCTAAATGAAATTTACGCAAATACTTACTTTGACCAACGTACTTTACTTTGGGACCTACAACTTCCTGATCTCCTCCGTTAGCTTCATGTTTACGTTTTCGTTGTTGGACTGTTTGTTTATCACCCATCGAAGCCTTTTGTTGTTTAGCATACGAAGTAACGTTTAAATTGACAGGTGTACGAGGTCCTGGAGGATTTGTTAAAATTTTCTTAATAAAATCATATACTTCATCCTAAAAGAAGAATTAAAAATTAAAACTGCACAAAACCTTTACAAAAACAAAATTACATACCGCTACCATTGTATCGACCATCGATTGAGTTACATTTTCAATTTTGCGCCTGCTTTTTGGAACACGGAGAACATCATCAGCACTTCCAACCACCACTAGAGAAGACTCAGATTGCATTTTTTCACGTAAGGACTCAATCTCCTCGGAACTAAAAAAGACGTATTAGAACACAGAAAGTGGGGTAAACTAAAACGAAATATATATTCGCCTTGGGGAAATTTTGGTTGTCAATCTCTTGTTAATTATGCATGTACGCTCGACCTTTGAAAAATCTGTGTTATGAAATTTCATACCAAATTCCACATAGAAGACTTTTAAAAAACATGTTAAAACTTTGGTAATGCTAAGTCAACTTTTTCATATTTTTGAGTGGAAATCATGCCTATTTTCAAACTTGGTCTATGGGATAGACCGCAGACTCTATGCAATTGTTTCGAAACATAGTTGCCGAATTTCAATTTCTATTTCAAATTGAAAATTCTAAAAACAGACAAATTCTATATAGGTTCGCTCTCATTTTCAAATATTCCTTAAAATGACAACGTTATTAGTTCCTAAATGACGATTATGACGAAATGATTCTTTACCTTGTCCGGGCAGAATTTTGCCCTATAACGAACAATATAGGAATCTTAATGTCTAATATGCGATCATCCGGAGCTCCACGCACGCCGTTGTATGTGTTATAGGCGAAACCCATACATACTACACAAGCGACATTTTCGGACATAGCTACTTGCAGTGCTAAAGAAGCGCCAGCATTAAATCCAATTAATATTATACTGCGGGCGGGATTTTCATTCCGTAATTCTTGTATTTTCACTCGCGTCAATGAAACGATTTGTTCAGCCACCTGCTCTAATGATTGGCGTGAAATATGACCGCCTAGAAAAATATTTTAATTTTGGATAAATTAAAATTTCTTACAAATTTCATTGAAACTGACTTGTCATGGGAAGAGTAACTTGTACAATCTGTGTTATAGTTGCTAAATGTTGATACCATTTTTGCAAACGATTTGGCACAGGGCCACTGGTGGGCATTGACGGCAGGGCCACTATGACAGCATTGTGTGCTAATTTCCGACTTTTTGTTGCTATATGGGGTTCCCACTTTTTCTTCATTACAGGAGCTAACAGTTCCTGACTGACATTCATTGGGCGTCCAAATAAAACTTTATCAATAAGAGAGGGCAGTTTCGATTTCAGCGTTTGTAAAATATCTAAATACGAAGCCATATAAGTGGAAGGCAATGCCTCCATTAGCAGTGAGTGCAGCCATTGTGTGAGGCGTGTATCCCAAGATATCGAGGCCAGAGCTTTGCGCATTCTTGCTGCCGACTTGTCTACTACTACCCGTCTCTGCATGGGCTCATTAGGCCTGCCCATATTGGACAGCCTGCCCAATTGATCGTGGTCCAAAATTTGTACTACTTTCACAAATAAAGACTTCTGCATGTTAGACCAACCAATTCTGGAAAAAAAGTATATGAACATTTCTTTTTATTTTTTTAATTGTTAAACTTACTGATTAATTTTTGTTTCCCAATCGTCATCATCGGAGTGAGCATTTTTTACATATTTTGCTATTCGAGCGCACTCATTAGACGATTCCTTGGCTAATATTTCATTGTAGGAGGGTATAGGTGCCTGATTTATATCCGACAAATCTTGCTCCTCCAAGGGATGTAAATGGTAACTGAGACATGGTGGAGGCCGTCTTACTAATATTGTCCGAGCAGCATTTAAAGTATTTGTTAGCTCTGTAGTTGGTCTGCCAGCATCACGTGTATAGCTGTGTTCGATCTTATTACTTTCTGCCGAACTTTCAGTGGAGAGAGACGAACTCTGCAAATCAAATTTATCTAGATTTGATCAAATCCATCGATTGTGTTTATATAAAGTGAAGAGAATAGCAAATTATGCCTTAAAATTAAATGCTTGCTTCTTAACACACATAGATAACTGCGTATGCGTAAAAATAATATTAGTTTAACAATGCATTGAATTTATAAGCATATTCGCAGACGGTTTTGCGGGATAATTTCCGTTAAAACCGGTTAAGCCGAAACCAAGTGTTAATAAATGTAGTTTTTTAAAGGATTTAGTGGAAAGTTAAAAACTTGAAACATTAATTTACGCTTATAGCCTCATTGTTCTTGTTGGTGTTTGTTGTTGTTGACCCTTTGTTAGCTGGATTTGTAGCTACTATAGTCAATTGTGGCCGTTTTGCTGCCACAACTGCAACGTTATAGTTGATGCCGGTTAAATTAGGCTTACTTATCGGTTTTATTATCCCCATCCCTTTCAACCCTTTGCTGATAACAACTTTGCCTAAACTTTTTGCTGGTGTCTGCTTAGCACTCAAAGTTGTGTACAATGGTTTTGGAGGAGTTGACTGAGATTTTTGTAGCTGCTGTTGTATTTTTTGTGAAGGTGTCAATAGAGTTGTTTTTGTAATAGTAATTCTGGGTGATACATTAGCCACAGCTGTAGTTGCTTGATGGCTATCCTTAGCAATTTGACTAACATTCTTTTCGTTTTCCATCCTTGTTGTTCTCCGTTACAAAATCCCAGGATTTTTTATTATTTTTAATTTTCAACAAACAGTTTAATATCCGTAGATAACATTAAGAGGTTTGCTCACTTTTATGCATGAACGCATATTTTTCTCACAAGTAAGCTTTATATTTTTAGTATCTTCATTTACAATTTGCCATTATTTAACAAATTATAAATGCCTTTTGTATTATTATCCACAAATTATACAATTCTCATTTTTAATAATTATTTAAAGACATTTTTGTTAATATTTCACCAAGGTTCTGAACAATTAATTCCAAAGAGAAAATCTTTACAATCAATATGGCGTCATTTAGCCTTACCATATTGAAGGAAAACCAAAAAAAAGGTAAGACAAACAATTTCACCACACATGAACTTATCACGTCAAACAGCTTTTTCCATACAACGTAAATAATTATGATAAATAATCTAGTATATAATGGTAAAACATTAACTATTTAATTGTTTGTTTAGTGAGCTGCACTATAGATTACGGAGAATCAAAATAAATACTCACAATCTCATTCTCGTTGCCAACTACCACAAGGGTAGGAACTTCATCAACAGTATCATCATAAGTCTTATTACGAGCATCAACTTCTTTTTTGTGCACGAACTCTTCGAATAACTTTATAAAAGACATGTTTTGCTAGTTCACAAGATTTATAAATTTCACACTATCACTTTTTTTGCTTAAATATAATCACTTTCTTTTTATTACAAGCTAATGCTTGTTTATTCGTACTGCTTTTTAAGACTAATCATTCAATCAACATCGGCAGCCATTCACTGTAACGCCAAATTTTTTTTGTTAGCACACAGCTATATAAATTTTTTGAACCATTGCTTTATATAAATTGTTAACAAGAATATTGATAATATCTTATGGCTCGATTTTTAATGATTTATAATCATTGCTTTTCCAGTTTGCGAAAAGATGAGAATGTTTTTTATCAAAACACGACGATGTTTGCTATTGTAAAATTTCTGACATTTCGTTTTACGTTAATACAACCCATCTGCACAAAAATATTCCGGTATGGTGAATATGTTTTGCAAAAGACGGGAATGTTTCTCTCAGAATGAATAACATTTTTGTTAAAGAAATAGTTAATAACTTCTCACAAAAGAAATATAACTTTAAAGAAATACTATTCGGTTAATATTATTCTCATTAAGTATAAAGGCAATAACAAAATAAGACGAACAAAATTGTGTTTAATATTACATTGTTAAAAATATATAAAAAAAAATCACTTTCATGAAGATATTAGTAAATAATCATTATTCTATAGAACATTTTTTTGGGGAGGCGTGTAACGAATCTGCGATATTGAAATTTATTCATATTTATTGTGTCATAGCAATTCTAAAATTTGTTTAGTGTAGATGTGTATGATATATTGTAAAAGAGATGCCTTATATTAAGGTACGTTGCACATACTGCAGGGCACATAGTTGAAAGTTAGCTTTCGCTATGAAAAATTTAACTTTCGCAATAAAAATGATTATTCCCCATATATATCAAACTTCGCCTCTCTTATTTCGAACGTGCTCTTGTGGAAGTTGTTTTTGGTTCTGCTTTTATATCTTGAAGAGTATGCTGGTTGATGTTGCCGAAAAATTTACTAGGTCGATCTATGGTTCCAACTGTGGCTCTTGAAGCGGTTGATTGCCCTTTATCAATTCCTGTAGTTATCTATAGTCTTACTACAGACTGTAATTAATCCTTATATTTCAATCTTATCTTTATATTTTAAGAGCCTAAGATAGAAACACCTTTTATTATTTCGATCGATTCACAAAGTGATTCTGACTAAGTCGGTCTACGTGTTTCGCGACGAAACTTGACACACTAACTTGTTTTCGCCCAAGAGCGAACGCTTTCGGATTCTCAAGAAATGTAAGCCTTTTTATTGCAGAAAGTTCTATGTATGTTGATCTTGTATAATAAAAATTTATTAATGGTAGTAATTTGACATAAAAATTAGGTGAAATAAAATGGAATCATATAGTTCTATTTCTTGGGCCTCACTCCTTGTAAGCTTTCGCATGAATAGTCATCTCTTCGGCAAAAGATTTGACTTTTAAGAATTTAGCACAAACGCTAAAGATAGGGAACTCGGATCACATATATCTATGTTTTGGGCCCCAGTATATATGTAGGGGTTGTCATGGAAAATTTGCCCTTATATTGAGAGAAAGCCTATTTTCTAGTCATATAAGACGGAACCTGCAAATTAGCAACAATTTTTAGTAAATAAATTAAGTTTGCAAAATTTTTTATCGTGTTCTTACGCTCGAGAACTAAAACTAAATAAATTGAAACAAAATAAAAGGACTTTAAGGTCTTTTAACGCTTCTAATTAAATCTCCTTAAACAAATGATGTCCAAGCAAGATAAGGGATTTGCAAATCACTTTATAGTTGGTAATGAATTTGTTGTTATATATTCACAAACGAACACAGGATTATTACATCTCATTATGACAGGTGACATTGATAAAGAAGTAAGAGTCTTTCTTGCACATCCAAGCGAATTTTCAGTTATTAACTTACTGAATAACAAAAGAAGAAGAAGAACTAAAACAAAGTACAAAGACATGTTTTTGCTTCCAGGTTAATACACAACATTATTGACGACATGGATACATTGGTTAAAGTATTTGTTATGTTGAGTAATTTTAAAAATTAAGTAAAAAAAGTCATTGAATAAAATTTTCCCGTATTCGTATCAACATGCCAGCCAATAGCGACTGTGTGGAAAAACTTTTGTAGCAGCAAGAATTTGCTAGAAAGTTCTTAGAGGAAGAGAATTCTTTAAAAGTGGCAGAACATCTAGTCGTACCAGAATCTCACAAGAAAATCGTCATTGGGATTAAAATTTGCAACAATTTTGTTAATCTTCATAATCTGCTCTAATTTTATGACAATTGTTCCATAGTTTGGAAATCACTATTTATGGTCTATATTGTGTTTTTCACTTCTTAAGTAATAATGCGTTCTGTAAAGCAGGATTGTAAATCACATCATATTAAAAAATGTACATTATTGTAGGATAAACATTAACATTAGACAAATAACCCTAAAATTTAAAAGAAACAATCATCACCTTTCCTTTTTGTTTTATTTGTACGTATACATGCAACACCATAGAATTTATTAGTTCCCACAAAGTTTTGTAAAAAATTTACAAAGTTGGACTCCCGACCCGAAAGTAGAAATAACGCCTTATTGCGCTAGGTCCCTAAGTGCTATTAAGCAATGTTGTAAAAATTTCACTGATGAAATTCTTTGTGCACAAATTATTATTCACACATCGCATGATATTGTTAGAATTGCAGCTCTACGAAAAGGTAATCCGACGTTGTCAGAAGACTTGTAAATAGCAGAACGTTATGAAGCTATAACGATAAACTTCGTAACCGTCAAAGTGTAAACAGGAAAAATTCTAAAGTGAAACAAGTAAAAACACAATAGTCGGGGATGCCCGATTACTCTGTACCACTTTGCTTAGTACAATTATTCACTCGTTTTGGTAATAATACATCCAAAAGTACTTATTATTATTGTCCTGCAAAGCCATAGTTTCCATGAAAGTCCGCATATACTTAAAACATCACATAATGTCATCCAGATTATGCAAACTTAGTTTACTTCCTAAAAATTTTATTATTTTTCAATTCCCATTACAAAAAATTAGAAATTACATTTTATCACACACCCTTACATACATACATACTTAGATCTATGTGAACCAAATTTTCAAGCGTTAATGTTTTTGCTAAATTGCTACTATGCACCAACTTTCCTAATAAAATATTAAATATTAAACCTTTTTCTGAAAACCTTAGTACGTGTTGCTGCTGAGCTAGGGCGGTATGGCGATATGGAGGAGGTTTTAAGTTTTTGTTCCAAGGACACTCCACAGACGGTTACATCTAAAAGAAATACACGTGCTTTAGCCTTAAACGGACGAACGGTCGGATGAAATCTTCTTATCGAACGGACAGGTCAAAAGCCGGGGGGCATTCTGCATACTACCTTCTGCAACTATAGTCTCCCTCGGCCTACGCTTTGCAATGGCAGACACTGGAATTTGGTCCGATGATCACCTAACTTGCTTCCCTCCCACAAAGGAAAAAAACTTTAGCACATTTAAAATATATTTTTTTTGTTCTTTTCCTTTCAATTTCTTTTCCATAAATTCAACAGGAAAAACAATGTCAATATCTGTACATTAATTAAACGGGGGCGGATTAAATAATTTATAGGTATGCATGTATGATTACTTAAACTATAAAAATTGTATAAAACTATTCAGGAGACGTACAAGGGGAGATG